GTCAGGGCAATAAAACTGGGTGATGTGACAGCGAGTGAGACTGGAGGGGAAATTGAGGTTGCAGAGTGAGATGTGCTAGCGAGTGAGATTGCAGAGCCACCTTAGCCTGGGTGATCAGGGAAGGCTTCTTGGAGGAGGTGGCATTTCAGTGCCAAGAACTCTGAGAGCAGAAGCTAAAAGCACAAAGGATGGTCTTAGGACTAGAATGAGCTTGGGTTGAGGGACAGAAGGAGGCCTAGAGCTTGGTGAGTGCAGGAGGAAAGGACAACAGTCAACACAGCCCTGCTCTCCTTTCAGGAAGTTGGGAGGCCTTTTGGGGTTCTGGTGCCAGTACTCACCGGCCTGTAACTGGGGCAACATACTTCTCCTCGCTGGGCTCCGCTTTTCTCATCTGTCCAATGGGTTTATCCTAGAAATGCAAGGTTTATTTAACATTAGAAAATATACTGTATTTATGAAAATCACCATATTAATAAATTAAAGGGGGAAAACCATGATCATCATCTCAATAGATTTATAAAAAGCTCTTGAAATTAATTTATATGCATTTATGATAAAAACTTGTAGAAAGCTCAAAGGTGAGAAGAATTTTTGTAACTGATAATGCCCCAACCCCCAAAATAAAAAAAACAATAAATGGCATCTGGTGAAACACTAAAACTTCCCTTTAAAATAAGGAAACAGAAAAAAAATGTTCCCTATTTCCACTTCTGATTAAATGTACTGAAGGTCCTAGCTTTCGGAAGGAAAAAAGGAAAGTAAATGAAAAGTTTAGGCCTCACAAAGGAAGAAACAAAACTCATGTTTCTGCAGTGGTAGGACCGTCTGCATAGACGAGCCAAAAGAATCTGCAGGCAGGTTGTTGAAATTCATGGGTTCAGCAAGGTTGGATCGAGTCCCAAGAGGGTTTTCATGGAATTTGACAAGCTGATTTTAGAAGTCAGGTGGAAGCATAGAGGACTGAGTAAGAGCCGAGACACTGCTGAAGCAGAACAGGCTGGGAGACTTGTTCTCCTAGGTATCAAAATTTTTCCAAGGTTACTGGGTTCAGGGTTGCACTGGGGCAGGAATGGACAAGATGACCAGTGGAACAGAACCAAAAACCAGGCATCGACTGTTTGGCTTATGACAGGGGTGGCATTGCAGAGGACGGGAAAGGAGGGACCGCTCAGTAAGTGGTGCCGAGACAACAGGTTATCCTTATGGAGACTAGTTGGATTTCTTCCTTACACCACACACAAAATCTGCCCCAGAGGGTAAAGGCTTACATATGAAAGGGAAAGATTTAAACTGACCTCAGGGTGGAGGTGAGTTTCTCCAAACAGGAGAAGCAAAGCCATCAAGGAAAAGACTGATCCCTTTAACTCCATCAGAAATAACTTCTGTTCAGTATAAGTTACCGTATAGGAAAGGGTATTTATCACATTTATGTGAACAAAGGCTAGTGCCTAAATACATAAAGGACTTTTTAAAAGTGAAGAGGAAAAGACAATGCAACAGAAAAGTAAGCAAAGCTCATGAACAGAAGAGGAAAGCGAGAAGCCACCAATTTATGGGAAGATGTTAGAGCTCGTTAGTAATCAGGGAAGCACAAGTTAAACCACATGAGATTTATGCCCGCCCACTTGGCAGAAATGAAAACTGCCCGCAGCAGCCCGGCATGCGGAGCAATGACTGCCTCCTGCTTCCCCGACCGGGAGCCAGTGCGATTTCGGAGGACATCCTGGGCATTGCCTGTAAGGTTGTGCTGTCACCGGCCTCCAGATCGAGTCTCCTGGGCAGTTTGTCATACAAGGATATCCCAGCAGCACTGAAAGCACAGGCTACCCATCAGCAGTAGAAGAGGTTCACTGGTGTGTGTGTGTTTTGTTTTTAATATATTTTTGTTGATTTCAGAGAGAGGGAGAGGGAGAGAGAGAGAGAAACATCAATGATGATGATTGATCGGCTGCCTCCTGCACACCCCCGGCTGGGGATCCAGCCTGCAACCGGGGCATGTGCCCTGACCGGGAATCAGACTGTGATCTTTTGGGTCATAAGTTACACTCACCCGCTGAGTCACACCGGCTGGGCTGGTGTGTGTTTTAAGTGGAATACTGTACAGTGGTATGAACTAGGGCTGCGTGCATGAACGCAGGTGAATCTAAGACATAGCTCCAGCAGATAAAGCAAATCACAGAACACGGCAAAATTTACATACTATATGGTTGAGGGGAAACGGGAATAAAAGCACAGAATTGAGGGCTGTTTCCTCAGCCCGGAGGCCGCAGGCCGCAGGGTGCGGTCTCAGAAGGGCAGTTGGACTAACTTAAGCTGGGCGGCGGTTGTGTGGGTGTCTAGTTCTTTATAAATATGCGCTAGACATTTTAATGAGTATTTACTCTGTGCTAAGCAGTTGGTCTGCGTTTGCCATCGGCTGTGGCCCCGGAGGAGCACCGTGGACGCAGGTGGGCGCCACCCAGGCACTGACTCCTTCTGCCGTCCCGCAGGTGCTGAAGTCCACAGGGGACGTGGCCGGCGGCCGGGCCCTGTATGAGGGGTACGCTGCGGTCACTGATGCACCCCCCGAGTGCTTCCTCACCCTCAGGGACACCGTGCTGCTCCGCAAGGAATCTCGGAAGCTCATCGTTCAGCCCAACACTCGCCTCGAAGGTAACGGACTGCTGAGCCCTCTTTGGTGGGGGCCGTGCAGCCGTACTCCAGCACAGAGGCCCACAACCAACCAGGGGTGCAGGGAAGGCTACCTGGGGTGACTTCTACCTCTCTCCCCATGCCGAACCTCAGGCCAAACCTTGGCCTGTACCATCACCACCATCACTACCACTGTACACAGCCGTGCTGGTTGTAAGATGGCATTATTGTATTTAATCACTATAGCTTCTTGAGAGAAGAGGCACTGTGCTCACCCCTATTTTACGGATGAGGAAACTGAGGCTTAGAGGTTGAGAAACTTGCCCAAGTTCCCACAGCGGACAGAGGTGAAGCAATTGCCAGACTGTAAGCTCCTGGAGGCCAAGGACTGTGTCTGTTTCACCTAGGATAGCACCTGGTATAAATCTTTTATTAAATGAATGAATTAATGAATGCAGAAATTCATTAAATATTCCCCCTCTAATGTTTCCTTCCTCATAGGGTTATTGTGAGGATGAAATTAGATAATAAACCTAAAACATGGGAAACAGTTTTTGGCACATGGTAAGAGCTCAGGAAGAACTAGCAGCTCTGATGATGGTGATGGTGATGATAATTCTGCTTCCCTATTAAGACCTTTCCTTGCTGCTGTTTTCTCTCCATCTCCTCCCCAGGCTCAGAAGTGCAGCTTCTTGAGTACGAGGCCTCTGCTGCTGGTCTCATCCGATCCTTCTCCGAGCGCTTCCCAGAGGATGGGCCCGAGTTGGAGAAGGTTCTCATTCAGCTGGCCACAGCTGATGCCCGGTTCTGGAAGGATCCCAGTGAGACCCCATCTGGCCAGGCTTGAAGCAGATTTGTACAGCCCCTCCCCCCACTCCATCAAACCAAAGCTGCAGTGGCCCCATTTTCGTGTGTGCATTAGGGGCTAGGGAGGGGCAGGAGCTCGGGCCTTGGTGCTACCTCAGCTGAGGGTGGTGACACTAACCCCTTCCATTTGTCAGCACTTTCCACTTTACCAAGTACTTTTTCCCTGTGTTATCTCATTTGATCTGTGCTGCCCTCTGTGGAGTGGGCAAGGCAGGGTGCCTTATCCTGCTTCCCAGAAGAGGAAATGGAAGTTCTGAGAAGTGACCTGTCTAGAGCCTGCAGGACTCAAAACCTCTCCCTGCCCAGTGCTCTTCATGTATTACTTTTATAACCAGAAAAATAAATATTAGAAACAAACACCATCTTTGTGGTTCAGCAATTTCTCCTTGTCTTTGGTTCACTTCTGTTCTGTTCCTAGCAGGTAATGAGATCAAGGGCTGGGGAGGGGGCGGGAGGGTCGTCTTCAGGCTTCCATCCGCCACAGGACATTGGCATCACCTCTGAGGGTACGCACACAGTTACAAAAACGAACACAGCACATTTTTGGCAGCCCTCCTTTGCGGCATTTCTTGCATTCTGAAATATCCCGGGAACCTAAAAACGGGAAACCGTCGGCTTCCGTCAGAATCCTAGGATTTAATCTCTTGAGCCTTGTGGTTGGTTTTTCTGAGCCTGGACCTGGTCCCTTACTTTTGAGGCTCATGAACACTGGAAGGGCTCCTCTCCAGGCTTGAAGCCAAAGCGCCCTGCCGCTGACCCAGAGACTACAGGGCCCAAGACCTGCGGCTGGGAAGGAGCAGAGATACATCCTAGGAGCTGGGATGCGGGGCTGCGCTCCAGCCCGCACAGGCCCTGCTGCTGCGCGCTCGGAACCTTTGTACGCGGGCTTTCCGGAACCCGGAACTCTTGGGTGTTGCACGACGGCTGGCCAGAGCCGGTTGCCAGGGCGACGCCCGCGAAGATGGCTGCGGCTGCTGCGTTGGATTCCGACAGCTGCAAAGCCGAGAGGTGAAAGCAGGGGCGCTCTCGGCCTCCTTTCCTGCAGACGTGAAGAGGGTGCCCTGGTTCCCTGGATGGGGGCTTCTGCGGTTCTTGAGCAGCGCTGGCTTTCCTTGAAGGGCTCTTAGAGATCAAATAGGGAAACTGAGGCCCAGACGGGTGTGTGTGTTGCGGTCACTGCGTCAGTGGTGGAGCCTGGGCTTGGACTCAGACGTCCTGTACCCCCAGTTCGGGGCTCCCCACATCTCCCTCACGGTTTTGTTCCCCTCCCTTGGTGCTCACTCCCCAACTCCTTCCCTCCTCTCCCAGCAACGAAGCCAGTTCCAAATGGCTGGACGCACACTACGACCCCGTGGCCAACATCCACACCTTTTCCGCCTGCCTGGGTGAGTCAGAGACCTGGAATCCCGGGTTCTGGGGAGATGGAGGAGTCAGATAACGGTTCTGTAGTGAAGCCTCTGGGGTGCTGAGACCCTGACTTATGGCCCTTTTGTGTTTTCCAGCGCTGGCAGATTTGCATGGGGACGGGGAGTACAAGGTAAGGTATCACCCCAGCAGAAAGATAATGCCAGAACTGAAGGGAAAATGCCAGAATTAAGATTTCCTGGAGGCTCCAGAGAAGCTCAGCATACACTGGAATTCATGAGTACTCTGAAGAAGCACATTTAGTGTTAAATTTTATCTTTATGTGGAAGGTGAAGAGATCCCATAGGTTTCATAATTCAGATTGCAGAGAGTAAAGCTGAACAGTTGCTGCTGGGGATTTGACTAAGACAAAGCCTCTTAATTTTGTTAACTTGACATAATTCTTTGCTAGAAGGGCAGGCACATCCCTTGGTTGGATGTGAGGTGTTAGAATCTGGAGGGGAAGTAGAAGGAAATTGAAGTAACTTTTATGTTTATCAAAAGGGCATAGATTTTAAGATTAGCCGTGAGCTGATCATTGTTGAAGCTGGATGATGGGTATTTGGGGGTTCATTATAGGAGTCTACTTTTGTGTATGACTGAAAATTTTCCATAATAAAAGGTTTAAATTTAAATTAAATTATTATTTTAAATTAAAATATGAAGATAAATAAAATGTAAACAAAGAAATAAATAACTTTAAAGGCACAGGTTAGCCCTGGCCAGTTAGAGCATCAGCCTGTGGACCAAAAGATCTCTGGTTCAATTCCCAGTCAAGGTCACACACCTTGGTTGTAGGTTCCCTGTACCCAGTCGGGGCATGTGTGGGAGGCAGTCAATCCACGTGTCTCTCTCACACCCATGT